GTCACATTATCCTTCAGAAATCATTCTAATATGCTGATTTGGTACAAAAGAAACTATTTTTATTATTATTAAAGTTGTAAACAGTAATATTTAATATTTTGTGGAAACCATGATGAATTTTTTCAGCATTCTTTGATGAATGCAAATTAAAAATGTGTTTTACTGTCATCTCTGATTAATTTAATACGTTCTTTCTGATTTAAAGTATTATTTTATTTAAAATTGTAATTACAAACCCAAAACGAGTTTTAAAAATATTATATTTACTATTATATTATATAAATAATTTTGTTTTCTATACCTTATATTAGAATATTTGAGAAATATTTTCAGTTCAACTGAAATTTATTTGTATAACGCTTTTTGCAATAAATATTGTTTCTAAAAAAAATTATACAGCCCCCCTAAAATCCCTTAGATTACCCTGGTTTGAAAAGCACTGTTTTAGAACAATTTGTACATGTATAGAGAGACCTATATGCCACTTGTCTGTCCTTAGTGTATTTGGTGTGAGGAGTTTGGGACATAAACATGACTTTCTTAGTTAAAAAAAGCATGCCACATGAATTCATTTTCACAAAATGAATGATGGCTGTACAGAAAGGCGTGCTAGTGTTCTTCCAGTTGAAAGCAGTATAATTCTGGATAAGGGATTCAAACCAACTAACTTTATTGTATGTTATTAACCGATTTAAACTTGTTTTCCTCTCTGTGTGATTGGCTAGTGGAAAAAAACGCAAGCCTGCGTGGTGTGACAGGATTCTCTGGAGAGTGAAGCCCAAGTCCTCACTGTCAGAGGACGCTAATGAAGATGGTCAAAATCAAGAGGATCCAAAGAAACAACTGGAGGAGCAACATAAAGACGAGTTCCCTCTAAAACTGAGCCAGGAGTTTTACACAAGTAAACTGGAGTACGGCATCAGCGACCATAAGCCCGTCATCGGCATCTTCCGCTTGGAGGTGGGGAGGAGTTTGGCTAACATAATAGCCATTATTGTTCTATAAAATACTACAAGAATGACTATTTATTTCTCTGACACCAGTTGAGAAAGATATACGAAACGCCATTGGTGCAGGTGTGCGCTGAGGGAGAATGGAGTGCCGACTTTGACGCCCTCATAGCCTACAGCCTTCTCCAGTCCTTTCCCTCCAGTGCCTGGGACTGGATCGGTTTATATAAGGTAAGAGAGGTTCCCAAAATGTGGTCTGTTCTGATAAGGTCACAGACCAAAAATAATAAATATAATCGTGTATGGTTACAGTAGTGATACTAAAATACTGTATTGTGAACTAATGTTATCCAGGGTGTTGTTAATATAGACCACGTGCTTGTCACTCCACAGGTTGGTTTTAAAAGCGTTTCAGACTATATCACGTACACCTGGGTGAAGGATGACCAGGTGTCTTTCACTGATGAGCTCTTTCAAGTATGCAACATTTGCTGTCTCTGTTTCTTTAAAACTGTCAAATAATTTGTTTTTGTCACATAAGCAACCAAGCAGTAAATGATATTTTCTCTGATCACAGGTTTATGTGAACAAAGATGAAATTCCTGCTCTTGGGGGAGAATGTGTGCTGTGCTATTACAGCAGCAACTTGCAGTGCATTGTGGGTATTAGTCAACCTTTTAAGGTGAGTAATATTTTACTTCTATATTTCATGCATACATCATAATACACTGTGCATATATATACAGTATATGTATAGAGGGAGAGAGAGAGTATATACAGTATATTATATAGTATTTTTATGTATAAATATATCACTATTATGGCTTTTGAAGTGTTTTCTGTTGTTTTTCAATTGATTTAAAGGTGCAGGAATCCAGAGCGGCGATTGAAGAGGGTTTAGTGCCTGAAAATATCAACGGACTAGATGAAACAGTAGCCAGTTAAGACCAGGTTTAAAGTGCACGTTGGTTTATACGCTGTCATATGCAGCTCAGATGTCAAACCAAACATACCTGCGAATTCAAGCAAGTGCAATTTTAATCCAAAATT